GTTCCATGTATGAGTCATCGTACCCTGAGACAATGTTTGCCATTTAATGAAACAACTACCTTTGCCTGAATCGAATGCATAGAGACCTTCGGTATATAGCGGAAATGTCTCTTACTGCGGCGTAGAAATCCACTCCCTCAGTAACTCTGAATGCGTTGTCTTGTAGGGCGCAACAGGTCGTTGTGCCGAGCTTGCGGACAAAGTTGTAAACATCATAGTTACGTCACTTCTGGCCTTCCATAAAAGTTCATCACCAAGATCAAAGCGGCGTCAAACCAAACGTAAATTTTCTCACTAACTGACTCTGAAATATGTACATATTCTATTCGATCTACTATTAGGTAATATGCGCACTGGCGATTATAGTGTGTACCGTTAATTGTCTCTAAAACGTTTTCTCTACCAACAACAAATGTGCCTGCAGATTTGTTTACCAATGATCCAGTTCTTGTTTTCCGTACTACATCACTTGCCTGGCTCAGCGTGTTAAGACACATTATCAATCTAGGAGGTATTACAGCATTATGAACACATTTGTGTTGAGTTACAATAATAATGAAGATGCATTATGAATTATGACATCGTTGTGCTAGACTAAACCTGGGTGCTGCGATTCTCCCATGTGGGCCACAGACAGGTTTCTCTGAAATGCAGTCAGTAGGCTACAATAACGGCATGTGGAGAAACGTACCGTTGATGCCAAAGCTTCCAACGCCACAATAGTGCAGCTCAGCTCTCAAGTGGGCCACCCGCTCCCCGTGGTGTTATGATTGGTTGGATAGCCGCGGAGAATGGCACAGGTAGTGTAAACCTTGATGCCCAGCCATAATAGCTTCGTGATGTTAGTTTACAAGACCATGATGAGTCGACACAAGATCACCATCTGGCCACATCAGGCCTCAGTGCCAGAAATACCTCGGTTGATACAGAAATACAACAGATAGCACGATAACAAAGGATGTTATTTCTACTCTGTGAAGATGCATCTGAGCTTGTTATCACTGTTTGAAACATCCCTGCGCTTGTTACCAAGTTATCGGGTGTTGGCGTAGTGCAGTGGTTACAGCTTTGTTTCGTGACGCCAAGGACCGGGGTTCGACTCATCACGTGAGTGTTTTGTGTAGAATCCAATATACGTACCCCAGCGTGAAATGGTTATACTGGTATTCCATTAAATAATGTTACTTAAGAAGCAACAGTAACAAGTCTGTTAGTAATGTTCCATCAAACTATTACCCGCACTCAACGTTGCTTAACTGCTTGTCCATAAGACCACATGCCTCCATTATTGATTCGTCTCGGTGTTGAACATTTTGTAATAGAAATGTTAAATGTTAAAGAGTAATTGGGGCTGGTTCTGATAATTACCCATTATAGTTGGTTATCAAATTAATGTCATTGCACATTGTGCTGTTTCGCTATTCACTGAAAAGGTTACTTCAGCACTGGCGATACTGTGTCGTTTTTACTTCCTGAAATGATAGAATGTCCTGCATGATTTGTGTGTTGAAGTTTGTAAGATAGAATTATCTGGCATTTGAATGGTCTGCGTTTCTGTCTCTTTTGCTTGTGGCAGTTTACAAATGCCTCAGTTAAAATCTCATGTTTGTCATTAATGTGTAACTAGGACTTTTCGGATGTTAATGGAGCCTTGTCAAAAGTGTTCATTTGCGTATTATAATATGATAGCTTTGTTGCCAATTGAATGAACTTTCCAAGGATATAAAGAGAACACCCACACACATTCACACACATACACACGCACGCACACACATGCGTACGCTCCACGTCTTACACATACGTACATACTCCCATACGCACAACCACGCGCATACATACATACATACATACATACATACATACATACATACATACATACATACATACATACATACATACATACATACATACATACATTACATACATTAGATACATTACATACATACATACATACATACATTACATACATACATGTATACATACATTACATACATACATACATACATACATACATACATACATACATACATACATACATACATACATACATACATACATACATACATACATACATACATACATACAAATAAAGTGACTGTGATGTCAAGATATTCTTCTTCATTGTATCAAAGTTATTTTGTTTGGGTTTTTTCCCTATGTTTTACGTTTATTTATTCGTAAGGTTCGGGAAACGAGTCATCTTATAAGGAACATATGTCTATATTTGCTGTTACGCAGTTATGAAACATTATCTTAAATTGATTCGAGGACCAACAAATTGACGATGTTGTGGCATGCGAAGTAATCCTTGTGTATGCCTGTAATCTAAGTTAATGGACGCACAACATGAAACAATTTACGTCTTCTATTGTTCTTTGTTTGAAGGAACAAAACGAGTAGAAAAACCCATTTGCATCTGTTTGTAGTGAACAGGATAGTGTAAGAGTGCTTTCATAACGCGCTACATTTGGCCTGTTCTACTGTTATCAACTGCCATCGGTTTGTAGGTCTCTATTTGACACGAAGACGGCCAAGGGAGTCGCGAATGCTATAAATAGAATAGTGTGTCATTACTGAGAGTATCTTTGTTCGATAGATTTCATAACAGTGGCATACAATCGTTGTTAAAGACAGGTCAAAATCTACTTTGCAAAAAGCAAAAGAAACAAATGAACAAAGAAAAAACAAATTACAACACGAACATCCGGAGTCTTCGTTTATCTCGTCAGTTCTAATATAATGGAGTGATTTATTTTTTGTTCGCGCTTCGTACGTGTCAGATGCGTTACGCTATCTCTGGGGTATAACGTTCAAGTCAATCAGTTACAAGTCTTCACGTGTTGACGTCTCACTGCACATCTCGGTTATAACGAAGTAAATCACAAATTATGACGTGGTGAAACTCTGCCACTGAAAGCCCAACGGCATTCTGTAAAGTCTGGTGCGTCATAAACACTGAAAACACACCATTGAAATATGTCACGTAAATGTCCACGTTTTCATAGTGGTTTTTGCGTTTAAATGAAAGATGATTTAATAAGATTTCGCATTTAAACTAAGGGTCATTTTTACATTTGAGTTTGCATTTGGGTAAGATTTTGCAAGTATACGACAAGAGGTTTTGCATTAGATTTCGTATTTAAACGAAAAGAGCTTTTTTATTAGGATTTTACATGTGAAAGAAAGGTGCGTTTTACATTAGAATTTGCAGGTAAATGAAAGGTGGTTTTACATTAGCTTTTACATGGAAACGAGAGGGGCTTCTTGCATTAGAATTTGCAGGTAAAGTAAAGGTGGTTTGACATTAGCTTTTGCGTGTAAACGAGTGGGGCATTTTTACATTAGGTTTGCATATACTAGTAAACGGAAAGGGCTTCTTACATTAGAATTTGCACGTAGTCGAAAGAGGCGAGGCATATTTAGAGCACGGTCATTTTACGTGTATCTGGTAAGTATGTGTCTACTTCAGCAATATTCTCAATGGTTTGATCCTGGATCGCGTCCTACAGAAGACGTTAGAAGATGTGACGTGTTACCGAGTCTAGAGCACTGCATTATGGGTAAACCAAGGACAATTCAGTTCGGAGTTAGTACAACTATGGTACATATGTGGGAGAAACACAAACGACATGAGTGTAGTGCAACCGGCATAGTACAGCAGTACAGTAGTACAGTGGATGCTGGCACTTCAGGAAAAATCGCGAACACGCCTTTTACCCTTTTTCAGCCACACATTTGTAAAAGGGGCGGTGGGATAGCCGAATGGTTAAAACATTTGCTCGTCACGTAGAAAACCCGGGTTCGATTCCTTACATGGGTTCAATTTGTGAAGCTCATTTCTGGTGTCCCCAGCAGTGATAATGCTGGTTTATCGCAAAAAAAAGCGGCGTAAAACCACACTCACTCACATTTTTAAAGCACCAGTCTCACCTACGCATTGATAACCTAAAACGGCGCTTACACGTTGTACCCATGTGGGGAACAGAACCTGGTATTTCGATTATGATAAAACAGCGTTAACCGCTGGGCTACCCTAGTGTCTGAAACATCTAGTTATGTCCATAACAACGGCATCGTCAATTTTCAGGTCATATAACAACACTACAACGTGCCAAATGAGAATCTAATCACCAAATTATGTTCGATTTGACACTCTACGACAGCATATTAGTCTTCAAACTCGACACGTGACAAGCAATAATGTAACTATTTATTGCCCGAGTGAATAAGAAATACTGATAATAAAGACAATTTCGTATTATTGATAGCAGGCAAATTATTTTACAGCCACGTTGTAAATAGAATGGGACTAATGATTTATGATGTGGTTATATATGATATGAATGACAGCAACCCATTCTTCCCGTATCAGTATCGGATCACCTGTCATCTTAACATACGCGCTATGAGGTTCGAGTGACAGGTTGATAGCAAAGGTACACTCCCTCCAGTCGCAAGCACCTATACAACAACGTTCACCATGACTCATGCTCTTCCCGTCGCGTATGGCGTTGCAGGTAGAAATACTGCGATAATAATAAGACGTAATAACACGTGATAGGTCGACGTTAACAAGGAAAATGATATGATTTCTCCATCCAGCCGTCTCTTAATTCAAGTCAAAATCCCTCAGCCGCTTACCCTGTCCTTTGCTGCAAGTTTAATTGGCTCATTAAAATCAAGAGGGCATGCTTGAAGCTTCTATACCTACAGAAGGTTGCACATAACAGCCTGTGTTAACATTCGTGGCTATTCTTGACACTCAAACATAGTCTTTATACGAAGGCTTCGCTGAAGCAGTTTGATAAGCCTTACTGTTACTTCTGCGCGGCTAAACTCGAATTATATCATGTCGATTCAGTATGTAGGTAAGGTAAAGGGAGGGTCCTCATTGTGACCTCTGATGCCTACTGGTGGAGTGTCTCATTCACGAAGCGATGCCCTACACAGGCTGCAGCTCTAGTTTACGCTTGGTTTAATTAGGAAACATCTTTTTCCAGGTAAAGAAGACGCTATGGCGGTGGAGAAAATGCCAGCTTGTGAGATCCTATAAGATCACCCATACAGGTGTCTCGCTGGGAAACAGAAAACATCAACAGTAAGTGACATAAAGCCATCACAATTCTTGTATATAACGGCTTGATTCAATTGTTGTATTGAGTACTGTGCGGTTATTTACTTGTAAAGTCTTGGTAAGTATCAAATCGGTTGTTTTAGTGAGAATTGTTAATGTATATGTTTATATCAAGTAAAGTACTTGCGTTTATTTTGTTCAAAACAGGCATTTATGGTTTAGTTGAAAGAAACTGATCAGTTTGAAAGTGGTTTGTTTGTGGTTGAGGGGGTTGAGGGTGAGAATAGCTCAACCTTTCAACGAGCATCTTGTATCATCTCAATCATCACTATTTGACAGTAATTCATAGACACATACCTATGGTAGTCGGACCGGTAGAGTCATATATACATTTGATTATGGAAATGGGCTTTGACAATTTATTGTAAAATGTTACAGATATATTTTCTATAATAGTGTTAGCATATTCATATATCGTTTATCAAGTACAGTTGAAAGGAAATATTGACAGATGGTGCACTATATTAGGTTCGGCATACTCTACCTTTTCGCACAGTTAACCAAGTGTCTTTTAGAAGATGCTTGTCCATTCGCCTCCACACTATATCAATGGCTCTTAATGTTCCTGAAACTATGATGGAGAAGCTGAAGGTTCTTTAACGTGTGTGCTGATAGAGCTCTCGAGTATAACAGAGCCGTTCCCCTTGTCACAGCCACATGCTACAACGCCAGAGCTGTTCACATAGATCCTTTCCTTATCCATCACTGATGAAGTGAGTGGGTTGGTACTGCGCGTTAAAGATGCTTGGACTCCTTGCTCTGCTGTAGTCATGCATCTCTCACGGTGCCCCCTCGATCCCGATAGAATATCACTTGTAATCTATAATCACGAAAGAACTACTTTCTCACGCAAATTATGGCTTGGTCTCATATGATGAAGTGCAGAACGTATTTGATCTTGTGTATCAACTTACTTCTTCTCAAGGCGAATAATCGGGATTCGACACTCGACAGTTCAAATCTGTTGTGTTGATTATGTTCTGGCGATCTTTGCTTACGTTTCGAAATTAAAAGATGCATTGGTGAAGTAATTATAAGTCCCTAATTTTAAAAACTTAAAGGTAGTAACAAGTCGAATTAGGTGTGCTCTTTTGATGATTTATTCAATGAGTGAGTTTGTTTTACGCCACTTTCAGCGATGTTTCAGCGATATCAGGGGACTACAAAAATAGGACTCACACATAGTAACCATCTGGGGAATCGAACCCGGGTCTTTAACCACTAGTCCCCACTGCGATTTATTCAATGTATGTCCAACTTCATTGTGTCACTGTCTCTCTGATTTGATTACAATGTATATCAGTATGATCAATGAATGTCCTAGTTGTTATTATGTCATATAACTATTCAATTTAAGAACGCCGATCAATGCGAAAGGTATCCATATATGTTTCAAACAGCAATAAATGAGCAAACAATGAGGACGGTATCAATTTTGCATTTACAAGTAATTCAGTAAAATTGATGGGTATGAAATACATGTGGATATACAATGTCAATAACATGTGCAGTTTATAATAAGAAAAGGTGATATATTAGCCATTGACGCTGAACCATCTATACTATACCCTGTCAATAAGCAGTTGTGACCTGCAGAGATAAATAAAATGTGTGTTCCTTAAATAAGCACCCGCATATCGGAGAAGCCACACCACCCTTTAGGGATCAATTTGCGGTGCTTTTATGGTTCAGATCGATATTTTTTCTTGGCTGTTGATGTCAATTACAGCCTTGGAGTGTCACGATTGCCATTTGCAGTTGGTTCTGTTGGCACGGATATTGACAGCTTACCTAAGATGTATTACGATGTAACGTTTCACAGATTGCCTGAAATCCATTAAACACTGGCGTAGTTTACATCATTGGATTGTGGGTTCCTTCTTAGTCTGTCACCAAAAAACGCAGTCTATTGAGGATGAATAATATGTTTTTCAAGAGCAAAGGAAGATCTCTTCAGAACCAGAAGGAGCATGTTCATCATAGTCAGAATGCACATGCCATTATTATGTGAGACACACATTCAGCAGTAGGGCATGATGTATTTTGTTTGAAGCAACATTCAGCAATAATTTAGATATATGACGGAGGCTCTTAGATAGGCAAGTTTTGACCAGACAATGTACATTGATATTATTTTATTAGTGCCGGGTACGACGACACACTATAAACCAAGTTACCGCCCCTAATTACTGCTGGATTCACTTAGCTGCTTCGTACCTGAAATTCCAACCTTGGTGACAGAACAATTCCATTCTTGACCATCAAGATACGATTTCACATGTCACATATTTCACTAACCAAACACCACATAGACGTCCAATGATAAGAAGTTAGGTCTGTAGTTGAAAGAAGAGTAAGTGAGTTTTTGGTTTTACGTCGATTTAAACAGTATTCCGGTTGTATCACATCGCGTCAGCTTGACGGATTAAAGCCCGAAGTGTTTGTTTGTTTAAAGCCGTGCGCAGCTATATTCCAGCTATATGGCGGCGGTCTGTAGATAGTCCAGTCTGGACCAGACAATCCAGTGATCAGCATCATGAGCATCGATCTATGCAATTGGGATACGATGGCATGTGTCCGAAGTGATCTAACGGTCTGAGATGTTAGCTAAATTGGTTTAGCAAGACTCACTTAGTCTCACAGAGGCGGTGGGGTAGCCTAGTGGTCTCATCGTTCGCTCGTCACGCCGAAGACCCGGGTTCGATTCCACATGGGTACAAAGTGTGAGGACCATTTCTGGCATCCCCCGCCGTGATATTGCCGGAATATTATTAAAATCTGCGTAAAACATACTCACTCACTCACAAATTTCATGACACTCATTGAACGCATTTTAAAATATTTTCCAGTATGCGCTTAAAAATAAAACCATTTAACCTCGCCTCTTGGAACTTCCATCCCAGAAAGTGAAAGATGAAGAATTTATGCATGCTGTGGCATCCGTTATGGTAATTAATACATCACTTCACTTTGCATCGGAGATTAACGTTCTGTGGATATCATCATACTGAAGTGAAAAAGCTTTTTTTTCACTTTCTCTTGCCTCCACGCATAAATGTCGAGAGTGTATTTTAGTTTTTAGCCCACAGACCCCCCTGCCTTTCTCAATCGGTATTCTCGTAGACCAAGAATTTAACTAATGGACTTGGTTCCAAGCCAAACTTATTAACAACTAAAAGGAGAAATGGGAGAACAGTCATAATTTTGAGATAAACGTGGCTTGTCTTAGTGAATTTTCGTCAGTGCTTCTTGAAGACAAAATGAAAACTTAAAGCATAATACCGTTACGTCCTGGCTATTTAAACCAACGTTTTTGTACTTAAAATTTTCAATTATCTTAACAGCTCGATGACATTAACCAGTTCTTGGAGGCACGTTTGGTACTACGTAGAAAGCCGATAGTTGTGTTCCTGTTTCTTCATTATAGGTGTGAAGCTGGAAACAAAGAACCACTTCAGTCAGCCCTTGTCATCGCGTTATGTAGTAACCAAGTCATGTCACCCGTGAAGATCCGGGTTAGAATTGGTCTTCAGTACCCCGTGCTTGTCGTAAGAGGCGACTAACGGGATCGGGTGGTCAGGCTAGCTGACTGGTTGACAAATGTCATCGGTTCCCAACTGCGTAGATAGATGCTCATGATGTTGATCTCTGGATTGTCTGGTCCAGACTCGATTATTTACAGACCACCGCGATATAGCTGGGATATGCTGAGTGCGGAGTAAAACTAAACTCGCTCACTCACATGTCACATGATCGACCCCATAAATCGGAGATATTTCTCTCTCGTTCATGGATGTGTCTAATTATCTGTGATATTAACTGCAGATGGGTAAATGGATGGCTGTATTCTTACCTTCATCCCCAAACACACTCGGTGAACCTTGCGTGCAAACAACAGCCTGAAGGCTGCAACAGACGTGCGTCATTCATGAAATTAAAAACTCGAAACAGTTATTTTTTAATTTAAGATGTCAGTCAATACTCAGCATGTTATTTATCACAGTCATTCAAAATACCTGTAAAGTACACATCAAGCATGTGTTGCCAACACTCGGTGAGAGGAACTAGCAGCAGGTAATATATTTCACTTTTAGTGTAAATCTTGATGCCAGACGTTTACACTGACTGACTGAGTTTAGTTTTACGCCGCTTTTAGCAATATTCGAGCAATATCACGGCGGGGACACCAGAAATGGGCTTAACACATTGTGCCCATGTGGGGAATCGAACCCGGGTCTTCAGCGTGACGAGCCAACGCTTTAACCACTAGGCTACCCCACCGCCCCCCAGACGTTTACAAACTGACAGGAGCGGATATATTAATTTTACAGATGAATCGTATTTTATTCATATTATAAGAGTGGGTGAGTCAGGTTTCATGCCACTTTTAGCAATATTCCGGTAATATCAAAGCTGAGAACAGTAGGCTTCACACGTTGTACCCATATGGGATTCGAACCTGGTATTTAATAATAATAATAATGTCCATTTGTATGGCGCCGTTTCCACACACTAGTGTATGCTCAAGGCGCCCCGTGTGTACAGCTAAAAAACAACTGCAGGAATTGTGCAAGTCATTCGTAATATTTCCTGAAAAGATGGGTCTTCAATGAAGATTTGAATAAGTCAAGAGATTTTGCTGTTTTGATGGTTATGGGAAGACTGTTCCACAGTGAAGGAGCAGCATAGCTGAATGATCTGTGACCATGGTTCTTGAGATTGACAGGGGGTGTTGTTAGCAGGAACTGTTGGTGTGATCTCAGCTGTCGCGGCGGTGTGTACACTGAGATGAGTTCAGAGAGGTACTGAGGCGCTAGGTCATGTAGACATTGGAACACAATGGTCAAGATTTTGATATTTCGGCGTGACGAAGCCATTAAGGGTTCCCCCTCCCAAGTGACAAGAGAAATGAATACAGAAAGATAACCCGTAGTCAATGAAGCGCTTTGTATCAAAAGAGCAGCCTCGTTGGTACGGTGACATAACTTTATACGTTTGTGGTTTTGGTAACCTTTTCGGTAAAGCTTTGGTTATCTCGCCAAAGTCCTTGTTCGATACCCTGCATTTCCTGATATTTTGTTTAAAGCACATCCTGGTGTCCAGACGTGGTCGACCGCCTCCGTGGTGTAGTGGTTAGAGCGTCCGCCCGGAGAGCGGAAGGTCGCGGGTTCGATCCTCGACCGCGTCATACCAAAAGACGTTAAAATTTGGTACTTGATGGTCCCTGCCTGGCGCTCGGCATTAATGGGTACAACAAGGACTGGTCGGCTCGGAGTCAGTATAATGTGTCTGAGTGGGGTATTCATGCTTCACTGCGGCATGGTATCTCAGTGGGCTAGCACTATAAAACCAGCTTCAGTCTGGGCTAGTACAAGCAGCCGCACATACACATACACACGCATGCACGTCGTCATATGAGCGAAATATTCTCAAGCACGACGTTAAACCCAATTTCACCTCACCTCACCCCCAGACGTGGTATGGATGAGGTACCGTTAACTCAACGTTAAAGCCGCCATCGTGCCCATGCCATTTCTTAGCGTTGGAATATTTATGTGCAAACATATGATGACATACCATCACGCTCAAATTAATCTTATAACAGCCGATGTTTTCGACTTTTAATCTCATTAAATAGCCACTAAATAGCTACAACAGCAACTATAAAATGAAACTTTCGGGATAGTTATATCATATATCTCAGCTGTGTGAGTTATAACTGATAACTGATGAACGAAACGTTCCTGGTCATATACACCAGGATTAAGTGAACCAGACTTTTAAAATTAATATCTATTGCATATTCATGCATGAATTTACATTTCTACACAATGTCATGGAGTTCAGTGGTTGAAACGTTCACCACACTGGAAAGAGACAAGATTCAAGTTCCCTCCGTCGGAAATGTACCTGAATAATGCATGAAGCGCCCTAAAGCCATGCTCACTCACACGATGAAATTACCAGATGAATCAATTTCGTCTTTTAAACGTTTATTAGGGAAATCTTTCGTTACTACCGGTATATACTATTTCTTTTCGATTTTGAAAGGCTAAACTTTATGCGGTTGATCTATTTGGGGTCCTACTTCCTCAACAGGATGTTCGATATTTTGGATTATGACACGTATCTTTGCTCCTCGAACCAAACCAGGGCAGATCTTATCTGCAGCACCGTACCCATGTACGAAATATGTGACAATTTTAACCCATCCTTGTTTTCCTGAAAAAGATGGCCCCGGGTCTCCGTATCTACTGGATTGTCGTACCTTAGTAATCCCAGCTACGGGGCATACGGACGTCCTCAGCTGTATGACGTGAACCAACGGCTGTTAGGAATCAACAACCGCGCAGCGAAGTAGAAAAAACCCGTTGTCGTTAAGATGAGAGAGTATGTTTAAACATCCCAGAAACGACATCCCTTGGGATTAACATTTACTAACGCCGAGTGAGATATGACCAAAGAACGAATAAACAGATAAACAGATAATTGAATATTGATATGAGCGAACGGTTTTGGTTTACATAACAAATAGGTTAAGCACGAATGTATGCAGGGGACCTGCTTCTGCGCTGCGAGTATTTGTGAATCCTCATTAAGTAAATGCCATAGATTTAGATCAGTACTTCACAGACAGACAGTAAGACATGAAGCAAAACGATCTTCAAAGCAAACATAATGTGATGGTGTAATAAACAGTATATTTGCACTGGATAAGCAATTTGGATTGTAGTTCACCGTGAAAGCTGGTTAAATGGGATAGATCCAGGTTTTATCAAACGGGTGAGAACGTTAGAGCTAGTGCCACTTCTAACAGTATCCCAATTATCATGTCATTGCAGTTCCAGTATCATAATCCTTTGTTTGTAGGCACAGAACCAGCTCTAGGTTTCACAAGGTTCAATATCTACGACCTGTGCTACTTTTGGCCCTCATAATGCTGATACGTAACTTAATATACCTGATATGACTGACAGCCTCCGTGGTGTAGTGGTTAGAGCGTCCGCCCGGAGAGCGGAAGGTCGCGGGTTCGATTCCCGATCGCGTCATACCAAAAGACGTTAAAATATGGTACTTGTTGGTCCCTGCCTGGCGCTCGGCATTAATGGGTACAACAAGGACTGGTCGGCTCGGAGTCAGTATAATGTGTCTGAGTGGGGTATTCATGCTTTACTGCGGCATGGTATCTCAGTGGGCTAGCACTATAAAACCAGCTTAAGTCTGGGCTAGTACAAGCAGCCGCACATATACATACACACGCATGCACGTCGTCATATGAGCGACATTTTCTCAAGCACGACGTTAAACCCAATTTCACCTCACCTCACCTCACCTCACCCCATGTCACTCCCCTCCTTATTCATAGCAGCCAAAGAATTGAAAAACATTTTAAGAGGTTTATATATTGTACTGATATCAATAACTTCTTTTTTCCAGATGAACACGACTGTGGGAGCGTGGCTGCGACCAGCATGTACAACAACATGACGCTAAATGAGACTCGGCTGAGTGATCTCGGACTAACCAGTGACCTTGATTTCGACGAGAGGTTCTCTCCGGAGAAGGTGTGGGTGGACCGATATGTAACGCCCGTTATATATGCAATAGGCTTCCCGGGAAACATGCTTTCATTCATCGTTTGGATCCAGAAGAGAATGCGTCATTCGTCAGGGTGCTATTTGGCGGCTCTTGCTTTGGATGATCTTATCTTCTTGTGTCTTCATGTCATGTTCGAGTTGCACACAGTATGGCGGGTACATGCTCTGGATTTTCCAGGTGTCTGTGAGATCTACCCCATCTTTTATATCGCATGTCAGTACCTCTCCCCACTGCTGGTGCTTGGATTTACAGTGGAGAGGTACATATCCATTTGTCATCCATTTAAAAGGGAAAAGTTCTGTACCACGAAAAGAGCCAAAATTGTGATAGCCTGTTTAACTATATTGTCACTGTCTATGAGTGGTATTCAAGGTTACATCTACTCCTACGACGGTAATGCAACCGACTGTGGCCCAAGAGATGAACTTGTAAAAGCGCAACCTATCAACTTTCTCATTGTTTGGAACATGAGTATCGAGATGTTTGTCTTCCTTCTTGTGCCTCTAAGTGTTCTGTTTCTGAACATACTGGTGATACGGGAACTCAAAAGATTGTCCAGAGTGGAAACTCAGAAACTTCACGGACGCGGTCAGAAGACATCTGCAACAACCGTGATGCTGTTGGCTGTGTCTTTCTATCAGATTATCACAACCCTCCCTGTCACAATCGTCTACGCTATGTACTTCGAGTTCCCAATCGGGAGCTCTGAGATCCCAGTTTCCCAGGTGCTACAGGATCCTCAGTGGAATCGTTTTTTCACATACTATTTGATTCAAACTATCATTAAGGAATACGGCACTACCCACTATGCATTTAATATATTCATATACATGATAACTGGGAAGATGTTTAGAAAGGAAGTCACCAAGTTGCTGTGTATGTCAAAATTGTGTGCGTTTCAGTTCAAAGTGCCCGTTACGGAATATTCAAGCCTTCGCAGCACTGCTCGGACGTCGCTAAGACTTCCCAATCTGTGGGTGTCTGTGAACGGACACGTGGAGAAGGAAAAGGACGAAACCAAAGTCTGACTAAGGAATTGAAACTTACGGTGAAGAAGTCGATTTCGAATCGCAAACAACAGCATCCCTATAAATCAAAGGAGCTGCAGTTTACTCTGCTTGTTAAAGTTGGTGATGTCAAGTGACCTAGGGCGCAGACTGGTGTCTGGTGTCTCTCTGAGTGCTAAAGAGGATTACAATAAGTGCAGTCTCAAAAGCTCAAACACTGACCGACAGGAGAGGCCAGGGCAGGGTTACCGTGTCACGGGATTGATGCATTGGACCGAGTTCTCTCATCACAGATTTACCATCATTTACGGTCCTACAGTCCGACTGGAGGGCAAAATGTTATTTTGACTGTAAATAAGTCCGTACATGTACTCTAACACTGTAAAACACATTAAGTATTGTGTAAGTACATTTGTTGAAGATGACAATATGTTGGTTGTGTTTCTTGTTAAATCCATGGAATAAACAATAATAAGTTTACGCTTACTGAAGCTTAACCACAGGCATCATGAACAAGAAGGGATCTTGAATTGTCTTTTTCCGTTTTGTGATTGTTAAAGACTAACATAAAGTGCCCGATATGCTACTGCATCTGTTTAGATACGTACCAGGACGCATGAAATATATACCTACACAAATGTGATCTAATCATTGCTTGTTTATAGACATTATTAACAGTTATTGGAGTTTTTATTTTCTAACGTCTATGTCCATGATTCAATTGTAAAATCGTATTGCTATGAATGTGCTGTTTATGTAATATACGCTACACGTGCGACAAATTCCTCGTGGGGAGAATGTGATATGATTATGCTCTGTGATTTTTGTACTTAGAACTCGTTTTCACTGTGCATGTTCTTTCTAAGTAAAACATATTAATGTTATAATATCATTGTTTTACCTGACACCACAGACTCACGAATGCGAATGCGAATGCTTTCGTCAGTATTGACAAAGGATTATGCCGGATCAGTGAAGGTGAGACACATTACAGCCCTGATGTGGAATCAAACACAGATGTACCTCTACGCTATCCGTCCATCCTAAAGTTACACAGAAAAGTTTTGCTGTTAGGAAATAGTTTTTCTCTGTTTCGGACGACGCTGTAAGTTTTATCCCTAATCTTTTTTTGTAACTATGTTTTGTATTATTTTATTTTATGTATGTTTATTTATTAAGGAATTATTTATTTATTTTTTATTGGAAAGGGGGGTGGGGTGTCGGCGACAGAAAGAAATGTGTGTCGATGCCATGGCTTGATATTCTTTGGTGCATTGTACACTTCTCCGAAGGAAACAGCTGCACCATGATACTTCAACATAATATGTTGAAACGGTTCTGATCCCAATTTGAACATGGCATATAAATATATAAGGTTATTATTTTCCTCGAAATTATCGTTCGTCACTATACTATCAACACAAATTGCTTTTTTGACACTCCTAAAAAAAATTTCTGCTGACATTGTCGGACATTACTCCGCTTTTAGCAATATTCCAGCAATATCACGGCGAGGGACACCAGAAATGGGCTTCACGCATTGTGTCCATGTGGGGAATCGAACCCGGGTCTTCGGCGTGACAAACGCTTTAGCCACTTGGCTACCCCACCACCCCTTCTCATGATAACACACATTAAGTGATATAATTGCTTCGTGTGTCACTGCCATTTCGTTGTTAGATTTTAACAGCAAAATATTTTGATACTTTGAGCCAAGTACACAACCAGTCATCTGCAGGAACCAGAGTTACCAAATGTTTGCTGTTGATGACAGTGTCAAAATGTGGCGGCTACCACACTGGCTTTTAGTGATGGTGCCAACAGCCAGCCATATGGTGTCAACTTAAGATGACGACACTCCTTCCTTGAGGCAGTGGAAGTTCAGTGAAGAAAGAAGGATCCCCCAAGATGATCCAAAATTAGGCAGATCTTCAGTTGCTACGTATAACAATAATAGTTTGTTTGCTTATGAATCATCAACGGCGCATCACATATCACATAGTCAATGCAGTAGGCATCACTTAGAAAAGAGTTGAGGACATTCTCAAATTTTAACTGGATGTGTGCTGGTTCACCATCTCTTGTGAGTATATAGATCGTTCGAAAGCTGACAAGCTTATTTTATTGACAGATTTGTAATAATGTATGGTTCTTTGGTTCTCCACTATCGGCCAGAAACAAAACCAACTGTCTCAGGGGTTGGCAAAGTCCGTTCCATCATCGGTAATTGTCTCAATTTTCTGCAAGTACAAAATAGTCCTACTGGCGGACTTCTACCGGAAAAACAGATCATTGTGTCCACTGCTAATCTGGTAATGCACGTGAGTGAGAAAATAAAAAGTGAACGTCTTGGAAAATTCCTTACAGCTATGTTGTACCACCAGGATAATACGCCTTTTGTCGTACTGGGTGCAATCCACCACTATGACTTTGAACAAAATTGAGCATCCTCATAATTAATCAGATGCAGCATACTCAGATATCAGTCTCTTTCCAAACTTGAAGAAAGAACTTAACGCTAAAGACAACAGAATACAAACCAAGATATTAAAGTTGAATCTGGTTTCTAAATAATAATGATGCCATTTCTGCAATGGAGAACTGTCTTGCACCATCATGTTATATTATGCTGAAAAATAGTTAACAATCAAGTCCATCAACTCCGTTCATCATTGCCTTAACCATTTCAACATCCTCTCGTCCCGAAGTACCTTTGTGAATCCGCAACATGTACAAGAAACAGATTCAACTGTCAAGTGTACCTAATACCACCGTTTGAGGTTATTCTTCTCAAACGCAACTGTATCTGGGTTTGATATACTGAAAGGTTTCGAGTTACTGTGAGTAATACATCATTGTCTGAATATACTGGGTCGTCTGTGGGTTCCACAGACACGCTAATATATTTTCATCTACAACTATCTACAGTAGGGCATCTCTGAAAAATTGTCACATAGAAATCAATATCGCATCAGTGTCACACAATAATATGGAACAGGAAGGGTTGTCCTGGCAGCAGCATCAAATCCACGTTGTTCCCTTGTTTGCCATGTTATTCCTACGTCAGCTTCACAACCCACACAGAAAACACATAGTACGTGTTAGTGATACAAGACAGCATCTGGTCAATCCGATGCTAACGTTTAAGCAAGTATTATAATAACATATGCAGGCATGAATACGCAACGGGGCCCCTTTGTCCTCATTTTAGAGCAATCGCCTCTTTTAAAATATTTATACCCGTCTGTTTACGACAGCTTTAACTTTGGGTCTTGGTAAAGAAGAAACGCACTACATGTACCCATCGGTATTTCTTTTCGCAGGTGTGTGAATGTATTCATGTGCTTCTGTGAAATATCAACATGAGAAAGTCTATCCTTGGACATGATTCTGTTCCTGAATAATATCTTGGTAAGCAAAGAGAAATTTTCACATTCAGTGTATATGGATAAACACGCTGCCATACTGATCTTCAGATGGAATAATGCTTTGTCATCTTTTGTTTGACCATTTATACTGAAATATATTCTTTTCAGAAAATCAGTTTATACTTACGCGAAATGCGCACCCATCCACCTCGAATGAATCACCAATCACAATTTTCGGTGCTCAGATCACTTTAACCATGAGCTCCATGATATCTAGGTTCCCTTCTGGAATGTATGATATTTAAGTAGAACGCTCCCTTTCTGTCTATGCGCAGTGAAAGCTTTATGGGGCGTAAGGCGTATTTCTTTCACCATCAATTTTGATGAGGATATTTTGTCAATGGTCCAGTTGTTTAACTATGGATAACGCTGAGGAATGTAGGCTAATGGATGTTGTGATTGGGGTTTTGTTTTCATATATCAACTAAAACCGAAATAAAACTGACATACATTGCACCTCTAATCCTTGCAGCATTATGTTCTATCCTCGTCGGACGTATTTCTGTTGGAAATGGACTCCAGTCTGTCTACATCGATTCTCCTTAAAAACTGCAGTGTGCATAGGAAATATGACGTCTGGTATTCCTATATAATCCGCAAATATTAACTTTTATACTTTGCATGACTCACCAGACATATCTCTGACCATATAAAGCTCACCTGAAACATTGGACAGAGTATTGTCAATGACGATGGATTGCAATATTTCAACGATACTGAATACTAGGCTAAGCCCTTTCGAAAACAAATCGGATTTCTTAAAACGTTTTAGCATTAGTTTTACAATCCTTCAGCTTTGAAAGCCTGGTGTAAGTGAAACGTTAGAACACAAATCAAACATATTTACATGGGTATTTGTGATCATTATCATTAGTGGCTAAACGATCCTGTAACGCTGACAACTTAAAGCGAAACTTTGTGGATACATTGTACAATACCGTATATTCAAGCCTTTGCATTATTGTTGAAGGCCTCCGAGGTTCAACCAAAGTCTTACTAAGGAACTGCACCCTCCCGCAAAGAAGTCGATTCCGAATCCCTAGACTAATGCTTAGTCTCTGAATATGTATAATTTTGATAGTAACAAACAAGCCCATTTAAATTGAAAAGGAGCCCCAGGGAGACCATAGATCCTGAACCTGAGGAAATCTAGACTTGCTTTATTGTGGGCTTTCGCACTGCAGAGAGGGCTTGGCAGTAGGGAAAAAAATGTGGTTCAGGGACTGTGAGACAGACTACCGAATCCCCAACACAGCATCAATTTACCAGAATAACACTGCAGTTTGTGCAGCTGAGGCAACGAAAAGTGTCGGGAGCACTAAAGAAAACACCGACATTCCCAAATGATTGCCAGTGAACCAAAGAAGGGACGTAGGAAGATTATATCATGTCACGGGCAATGCATTACCCCGACTATTCCAATTCTTTTTATCCACTTAAGTCTTGAGCCGTATTACCCGCGCTTCACTGAGAAAGACAGCATATTTGTTCAGTAGAATACAAACCCAGATATTTAAGTTGAATCTGGATTTTATCATATATAATTGCATGATTTACCATGGGCCCTGAAAGAGAAATACATTAAAACTCCCAAGCAAATCGACAATACAAGGGAATAGCTTTAGTAATCCTAAAATGTATGCATTCCAAATGAAGTACATATGGGGATACAAATAACAGAAGGTTACAGAAATACAAAAAGAGCAATCTTAACGGACGGATATAAAAGATGAAAGCCCTTTTACAATCACCAGAACACGTTTAGTGTTTATTGGAAGGGTGCAAACAACCAAGAAAGGGGCGTGAAATAAACGAACACGAACGTTTGAGATGACTTGATCAATAATTGGTCATGATCCCACGATTGGACAAACATTTGTTTATTCGGCGTGGCATGGTTCGAATCAATCTCCCTCGGGTAATTTGGTGGCGTCTTGTCTACTATTTTTGCAGCACCTGACTCAGTTTGGCAATGGTGGTCTTTGACGTTGGCGTACACGTTTCACCGTCATTTCCCAGACGTGTTCGATGGCCAAAAGGTCAAGATTCATGGCTTCCGTTTAACTCTGGTGATGTTTAGCGGCTGAAGATAGTCAGTTACAATACGTGATCGGCGGGGACAAGTGTTTCCATCTTGAAAGGAAAAGTGTGGACAGAGATGGAGCGTCGAGAAACTATTGGCGCCATTTGTCTATATAGTACTGTTCAGAGACACATCCATGTACAAAATGCAGTGGCGGTCTGGCAGTCATAGGGATCCAACCCCATAACCGACCTACCACAAATATATCATGTTGCCGTACGTGGACGTTCGCATGACGTTCGTAAAGACACCTTCAGACACCTTAATACCTATCCATACGAGTGAATAAGAATCTGAAAACATTACAGCAGGCCATCGTCGAACCAGGTTAGAATCAGCCTTCAGATACCAATGCTTGTCGCAAGGGGTGACT